CATCCTACAGGTCGAACAGCACACCAGATGTACACGTGGTTCAAAAGCTCGTATCGGTTGCTGACACCACGGTTAATGTAGAATCTTCTCTCTGCTGTGGCGACGTTAGCCAGTTCGTACGCCTAAAATTTACAAAGAAGCGGAGAAATGTGCGTTTGTTACTTAACACGCATTGACGCTCATCTTTTTTACCAAGACTGTCGATCGTTAGTGCCCGTCAGATGACGCAGGTTGAGCTCTATACGCTTGTAGCCAACATGCAGTTACATACCCCGAATCTTTTGGTTTGATTCTTTCTCGACCCGGCTCGAGCGGACGTGAACAATGCTGCGGGTACATTCTCTTCGTAAGTGAAAGCCGCAATGTCTCCTCGCATGTTCGTTCCCGTCTCGTCATGGCGGTATACTTGCTCGCCATTCTGGAAACATTGACAGGAACGAAAGAGTTGAGCAGGAATATCGGGTTTGCCCGATACGCCACGGCATAAATGCCCAACGCACACCTTGTGTGGCAGTGCTTTCGAAATTGAGGCACAGCATCGGCAAAGTTCGAGTTATTCGCATCACGCGTTCGTCCACCTTCGAACATTGCGGCCGATCAACGTGGAAGGGGTGACCATCAAGAAGCAGATTGATTGACTGGAAATCGTGTCGCTGTTACGTCAAAGGCGAGCGACATGACGTTCGCCCTATGAGGAGTGTCAGATAGTAAGCAATCGACGTGAAAGACATGCTTTTTCGCTTATTCTGGTATTTGCATGATGCTGTTCGCCCCCGTCAGGAGACACGTGGCAATGTCCAGTATGTGGTTGTACGACAACTTGTTTGGGGACGCCGAGACGAAACGGAGGATAAAGTCACCTACAGAGCCAGAGGATTCGCCATTTCCGCAGCCGGTCAATGGCTGCTGGGATTGACAAGGTACTATTTACACAGCTGAAAGCCAATGCGTATGCACCAACGAGGAATATCTCTAAGCTACTGGCCAGATGACGCACAGCCTTTACCCTACGTACCAACGACATACAGCACTCATTTCTCTCACATCGTCAATTTTTGCCACATCTTTAGTGTCTTGTTGAGAATGCTAAACATGAGACTGCGTGGGTGCATCACGTCTTGATTGGCGATCAAGTCAATCTTTTGTAGATGCAGTGGGTACATTTAGTATTTCTAACGACCGACCTCTGCCCTCTTCGGCAGTGCCTACATATCCCCGACCGGATGGCCACTACTTACTAAGTTCTCTGGGGGACAGCCAGTCCAGGGCCCCCAGACTATTAGATGTCGTGGGTTGCTTCTACGAGAGGCCGAGCTCAGTGGTACCGGGGTTCCCGGATGGTACAACTGAGATTTATGTGTCACACATTCTAAAATGACCTTGGGTTTTGAAAGGGGATCTAAATCGGCAATCATTGGATTGGAACGGCAGTGCTTATTTTAGGCATTAGGGAAACCCCAAAATAGAGTCAATCTGGTGCTCACGCGTGTACGACAAACGAATTGCTGCAACAGGTGCGGGATTTCTCACGGCCAACTTTCGACGTCAAGTTGAAGTTCGTTCACCGTTTATTACATGTCAAGTTCAATATGTGGCTCTGGTTCAGACAAACCAATACCAGACGTTCTTCAACCTGAAGCTGCGATCTACTTCCACTTGAGTAAACTATGAGCATGCATGTCATACTGTTCATTAGGGTGGTCTTATTCTGGCTTTTATACTATTCATTCCATTCGGGTCGAAAGTATCAAATAAAAGCTTTTGTTGACACCCTTAGCGACCACAAACCACATGATCTCGATAGCCATAGCGTTCTGATGACACTCGATCCCGCGCTTGCGAATTTGAGCCCTTAACAACCGCTTTCCGCTACACTGGTGCCTGTAGCAGTTGAGCCAAGGGATCCCAATGGCTTCGTGTTTAGCACCATGAGTTTGAGCACTCGGGCTAGCTCTTCTCACGCTGAAACTTTCAGGCAAAGCTTGCTTTGACGGAGAATCTAGGAAGATGGGAAATGGAGCGCATTAATCATCTTATTCATGACGTAAAGGAACGCTTTGGTGCATCTGCATCAAGCGGTGAAGATGCTTTGGAGCACAGAAGCGCACGCACCACGAAGAGTTCCATGAACACGCAGGGAACGACAAGCTTGACATGCGGATAAGGAGATGCTCAAGAAGAAGGTATAGCACTTTGGCAGCACCAGCCTGCACTGAGCGCTCGTTCGAGGGACGACGACAGAAACTCCCACGCGCGTCGGACGCGTACACCAAGGCAAGTGAGCGCCATTGTCGCGGCATTCTATTGTATAAGAGGCTGTGTGACCCCTTCAGATGCCATTTAACGTGTAGTCGGTTGTTGAGTCAAAAGCTGTCTTTTCGAGTTTATATGACTCCTCTTCCTTCACCACTCGTATGAGCTTTCGTATGACATCCACTTGCATGACGAACCTCCGACACAAGTGCTCATAATGTGAGACCCTTGGAAGTAAGCTAAACAGGAAGGAATATGTCGAAGTATAAAGTGTGAGTACTCTCACAAAGGACTATAAAGAAAACTCTCAAAACTGGTCCGGTCTTTCTTGATTACATTCTATTCTTGGACAAAATCCGGATGTTCTGTGCGTGCGAAACGCACATCAAATGACCACAAATAAGTCATTCCTCGCGCCAGTAATTAAAACTGCGCAAAATGTATTTGGTGGGTCATGAAGCCACTCTTTTACTAGGTCACTTTTGTACCGCAATAGTGACCTAGCAAAAGAATGACTTTGAATGCTTGTGATGGGCTTAATATCGATCGAAGGTGAATATGATGATCACGTTAGCAAGTGCTGGACGCTCGTAAGCAAAGGCCGATCGCGTTGCCGTAGCCAAATGTACTGTGTAAATACCAGAGGTGAAAATCCCCCCGATTGTTTTGGTAGATACATCGGGTTTTAGTTTTAATACAAAAACCCGATCTTGTCATGGTTTTTTAATGAAGTCGATACTCTACCTATTGGACTAAACCGCCTCATTTCATCGACGCTGCTCTCATTGTCACTGCCGTACTTTCACTGGCTGCTTTTGGTGAGTCGTAGACAGCTCCAAGGTTCGACTTGATGAATGCAAGCTTCCTGACGGTAATCGGTAACCGGTGACCTTTCGCATGGTGCTGCCACACCGTACCACTTGAGCTACAATCTCTTCCGATAAATCTCACACCAAGGCGCTTATGTTACAACAGTAACTTGGGATGAAGGGAGGTCGCGGAACCAAGGAATGTGGCGTTTCGAGGGGTCAAGAATTCCCTCAGCACGACGTTCAGGAGCCGAAAACAAAAAACAAAAAAACAAATTCCACCGACCCAAGTTTTGTTCTCCTTAAAACCCATGAAAACCCGGATACAAAAAAAACCATGTCATGCCAGCTCTGGTTAATACAGACATTAACGATCATCATGCTCATTCTTCAGTGTCTGCCATTAAAAGTGAAATTTTTGCAACTTGATTCAGTTCTTCGAACGAGGATTACTAATATCAAGGGGCAAGCTCCAGACCTTGCTCTTGTGAATTTATGCGTAACTGGTTACCAAGAGTGCCGACAGATGCAAGGATACGATGTCGATCTGGCGCGAGCCTGTCTCAGACTGAAGTCTTCCTGTTCCGCAATGGAAATGGCTTGTTCTCGTGAATCTAGTTCAAGTCGGAACAGGTGAGTCCTGACGGGACCATCCGCAAGACCCTGCATGAACACCGAAACCAACGTGTGTTCATCCACCGGATTGGAACTTATACAACTCTTGAGATGTCGTTTATGTTGCGCGTAAGCGTGCACATCACTCTTACCTTGTTTGAGCTTCAAGAGTTCAGTTCGAGCTCTGAACTCAGCTCTAGGCGGTTCAAACGTTTGTCTGAGCCGCGACTTGAAGACTTCTAACGACCCAATCGCATATGGGTCGTGCAACTTGAGCCCCAGTGACCAAGTCTTGGCACGTCCTGCCAGATTTGATTCGCCAAATGCAACTTGCATTTCCCCGTCGTCGATGCGACGCGCGCTTATGGCGTCATCCAATTCGACGAACCATCTCAAGAGGGAGTCCCTTCGACTCCCTATACTTGAAGATGTCAATCTTCAAGTTCTCGGGTCGACGCGAGTGCATCAACCCACCAGCAGCAGCAGCCTGTTGCTGTCTCAACAGTTCAAACTGTTGAGCACCCTGTTCTCTCAACAACTCTGATTGTTGAGAACCTTGTTGGTGAAGCAAGGCTACTTTCTCGCGTTCTGCGTCAAGTTCATTTTGAATGAACTTGGCGATAGTAGCATGCTGAGCATCTCTATTGAGAGCCTCTAGCATGACGCTAACAGCATGGGTGCCCATGGTTGAACCCATCCGTTCAACCGCATCCCATTCGACATCGCTCAAATGGGAGTAGCCGTCACGCGTAGCGTGAAAGCTTTGGTCATCATCATCATCTAACATATTCATGTTAGATGTGAACGTGGTCCTTGGACGGACTACGAAGTGCTACCAGGTGTAACGGGGCGCCCTGAAGCTTGTACTGATGACAGTACAAGCTACTTATTCCGATAACAGAATGAGGCGGTGCCGCATAACTTCACGTACACTCGTACGGCAGAGGAAGACGGTAAGGAGAAGCGAGTACTTAGTTAAAGTAAAAAGTAGAACAGTGTTTATCATAGTTAATGTCTGTTAATAAACCACTGTTTATCCTCATCTAACTATGTCTAAATACAAATGTGCATGTCAACTATCTGCTTACCACTCACTGCGTGCGTCTGTCGGGGCGCGTCTTTTCGTTGGTTGATATAATGGCCTATATCAACCAAATTAGGAAGTACTCGTAAGTGCTTCTGTGAATGTGTTCTTGTGACATTATTCTTAGAATATAACCCTTATAGTTATATTCTATTAACAATTTACATAAATTTTTATGTAACGGTTCGCCCTGTTACAAGTTCCCTTTGATCTTAAAGACACGTGCCTTGCGAGGCGTCTTTGGTTGTTGATTTCTGATCCTTAAGAGTTAGCAACACCTCCCTTGGAGGTAGCTAGTTATCTTGGAGCACCAAGTGCTGTCGATTCACAGAATCGTTTGGTCTACTGGAACAAGGACAACAAGCGTTACGCTTATAGACTCATTAAGTCTAGTTCATTAGACTTACGTTTCGTTGAGCGTTAAGTATCCTCTGACTTGAGGGAGCTGTGTGGGTGGGCTACACATTTTTTGGTAGCACTTGCGTCAATATACGCCTGAGTCTATTAGACTGATCCTCTGTGAGGATGGAAACCCTACTTCCCTCTCTTAGGCCTAAACGGACGCGCTTGATAAGCTGACCGCACCTCTGGGTGCAGGTTACTTGGATTTCCTTGTCTCACAAGGCCCTGAGGTACTAAGTACGTGTTGAAGGCTTCATGCAGTGTGGAAGCGACCCTTTTAGGAAAGATTTAGGACCAACTAGCGTGGTCCATGCCTACATGCTATGTGAAGTCTGTAACAGACGAAGAGGCTAGGCCTCGTCCGCTTAAAATGAAAGTTAAGAACTACTCCGTAAAGGAGGGAAAAACCTCATCCTCTGGATCCGTGAGATTATTATGGCCATGAGACGAGGCCTGATCAAGCCTGACCATCAACAGGTCTCGCTGGCTAAGTATCCAAGCTCAATGGAAGAGCTATAGAGAATGGGCCTTGACATAGCACGTCGGTTGACTTAGCATTTCTACATGGAAGTCGCTAAAGTCACAACTCGGTACAGGTATTCTCACCACCTAACTAAGCCGCACCACGCGTTCGAGCTTCTTGTTCAACCGTCAGGTAAGAATGAGTTATCTGACTACGTCCAAGAGCTGAGCATCTCTCAAGGCTGCAATGCAGTCTGACCCTCTGCACAAGGCAGATCATGTGACTATCTTAATGCAAAGGTCTTCGTACTGGCATTGCCGAAACTGCTGGTCTACCTCCCTACGTTCGAAGAGGTCGTATCGTGAAATTTAATGCTGAGCATAACTTTAAGTCGGCCAGCTTTGGCTGGAATGAGTACAACCCTAGGTACTCGCGAGCACATTCCACAAGTGGTCCGGCCTTATATAGGCCAGAACCACTGATTTCAGCTATGCTGAAGAGGAAGGTGAAGAGGAACTTCTGGTGAGCAGCAACGCATCGAACGACGATGTTTTGCGCGAGAGCACCAAACACTTGCGGCCTGGCGTTGCTCTTATGCGTAAACAGCGTTGGCTACAAGCCAACACTCCATCCCGATTCAGAGGTCTGGCATGACACAGGGAAATGCCGACGCTTAGTAGGCGCGGGGTGGCCTACTGTGGAAGAACTGGGGTTGTGTTACGCATTCAGGAGGTTAAGTTGAACAGAGCTTAGTCTAAAGATAATTGTACCTACCGGTACGGATCGTGGGTACAACTCGGGGCTTATTAGTCGCCGAGGAGAAAATTAAGGTTTTGAATAGCCTTGGTCGATATTGACGACTCTGGAGCGTCTTGCAATTATGCTGACGTCGTTCCTTAAGGGAAGTCAGCTTGATGCTGAGGCATTTACAAGCATGAGGGTGATTATGTCACAGTTCGTTAAGCGACTGGAAGTCGGTTACTGAGCCTAAAGTTCCATTGACTTAGGTATACAGTTTTTAGACTTTGACAGCATTGGAACGCTGTCTTGTCCTCAATTTGGACTCGAGATGTGATCTCATCCTGTGTGTCTTGGGCTTTTTGAACGCCAAGAGCCATGGATAAGTTGGAGGTTTAAGACCTCATGCCACGTAGCGTAACGTTCCTAGTGAAGTTTTGGAGAGTCATGAACCCACCTTCGCTAGGCAACAAAGCACTACTGACGCGAGCCTTTGGCAAAAGATGTCAATGTGCTGACATTTAAATTTCCGAGTTGTTTTACTCTTTTAAGTTGTAAACATAGATTCCGGGAGCGTAGATCGTTAGGCATCGGTCATGTTTGGCACGTACTCCGTTAATTTTTACTCGTTGTGATAATGAGTCTCAGTATGCTGAAAGCATGGTATCTAGGGACGGAATACCAAGGATGCAATTCCTATAAAGTTTGTGATGTGGCACGTAGAAATTCACTGAGTGTGGGCGGCCGTGAGGGCATCACAATTAATGTCGCTAATGACATTGTTGACGAAACTTTGTTCAGTTCGGGGCTCGGCCTGCATACTGTGCGTGGAGTTGCACGTGAAAAGTTTTTGTGTGAAGTGTCTGAATAAAATGTAACCCTTCACCGGATGTCGGTCAAGACATCGGCTCTTATATAGAGCGTACTACCATAAGTATTAATGAAGGGGGCAGTAGTTTCCCGGACCCCTAGTGGGGGTTAAGGATCCAAGAGACGACTTGGACGTCAGGTGGCAACTGCTAAGCGCTAGGCGTCCACAGTTACTGAGTGATTAAAGTAATACATTATATACGCTTGTGAATAAGGTGACCGGTCAGGTTGATGGCAATGTAATCCTCAAAACCCTTCCACATTTGGATGTCGGTGTGAGCGAGACGAAAATGTCTGATGGCCAGTTTAGCCAGGCCTTAAAGACTAAAGATTTATCCGAATTAGTGGTCATCATACAAACCTAATGTCGAGTTGAAGTCGTCCTCATTGTTGAATTAGTCTGTTCTAGAGGACGCTAAGGCGGCACTCAGTGCGCGAAGTAAATATTAGATGCTTAAATATTCTTTTTTGGCTCCATGTTATACTTTAGTTAAGGAATTTCCTCGAGATGTGGTGTGTCATAACTTAGCGTCTGGCTTTTACCATTTGATAGAGGTTGTAAGTTATGAAATTGACTTTGATACCGGAACTAAATACTGCATGATACGGCAGTGGCCTTTGGCCTGAGGAACATGTGTGAGGCCATTGACGAATTCTTTTTTGCAAAGCACGCGGACGGAATTGTACGTGAGATCAAGTGTCTGCACGCGACATCGACACCTCTGTGTCGAGAAGCCAAATGGCAAGTGGCGCATTACGCATGCTTAGAATAAGCTTAACGCAGCAACTAGACCGGCACAGACGCCCGTTCCTAGGAAGGATGTGGTTCATCATGAACGTTATGCTAGGTTGTTCCATGTTCAGTGCACTGACTTGGTCTATGAATGTTATCGCATTGCTCAAGTGCTAGAGAATGGTATTTCTGCTAACTGCAGTGAGTAATCCGATCGGCATGCTCTGGGAACGCCTTTCCGTTATGCCACAAGGGCTGGGGCCCTAACGCCCCGGCTACTTTTAACCGTCTGGGGCGACCGTTCCGACATCATCGATGTTACCAGCACAGAGCTTCCTTTTGACCCACATCTTTAACCATAGTCGGCAACGAATGGTTGATCAGGATGTGAGACCACTACATTGATCATTTACGACTGTGCTCGAGTGAATGCGCAAGAATAAATTGTAGCCAACGTATTTTCGTAAATCTCTGGAGCAGAAGATGTTCCCTTTAGGGGTGCTTTGTCGAAAAGTGTAGCGCTTCGAGGGACCCCGTTGAGGTAAAGCGCCATAGTCGACTAGCCGGCTCCTGGAAACCTGCATGACTTCAAGAAATGGCCTTGGTTTAGCCAATTGCCCGCATAAGCATAGTGCGAATTGACGCAGACACGGCTAGGCCATTATCCAATCTCCTTAAGGTGTATGTGGTTTGGTGTTGGGACACAGTCCAGCCTCACACTCCTCAGGATACCAAGCGATAGTCCTCATCCATGCCCCAATATTGGCTTTGCTAGCCCAGGCGACCTCTCAGTACCGCCCTGTAGAGCGTCCATTTTTGCCATTGTTAGTGACCACTTTAAACAGATAGTCGGTGGCATGATGTGTCATCGCGTATAAGTGGCGCCAGCTGAAGCCGCAGAGAAAAACTATCCAGCTCATGACGGTGAAGCTACTCGCAATGCAAAAATGCTTCTTAAAGCCATGTTCAAAGTCTACCCGGATTGGTTCAGGGCCTTTCGTGATCTTCACAGATCATGCGTCATTGTATACTGCGACATAACGCGCCGCATCTCGCTCATAGAATGGCCCGTTAGCTTTCCTTCTATGCCGAATATACTTCGAGGTGAAGTATAAGGGCAGAAGCAAATGTATTAGCCGACGCAAGATATCGCGCCGACCTACTATGAGCTTTCTGATTATGTTACGCCACACTGGCATCGTCTATCCCTGACTTAATCCGTGCGGCTTGTACCTAGGGATGAGCAATGTGTCTCGTGATTGCGCGCACTAGGCTGTGATGAGTTCAAAGACTCGGACAGTAAGTTGTCGGCACGTTAGCGTGCAAGGCTACATCGGAGTTTTATCGAGAATGGACTGTTGTGCTATCGCACGAATATTGAAGATATCCCTCGCATAGCTGTCCCTCATGATGAGGAGTCTAAGCGTCGAATCTCTTTGGGGTTACGATACCAGCTTCCAAGCGGTCATCTCAGTCGTGAGAAGACCTATGGCTCAGCGATCC